TGTGCTCTTTGGAAGGTCATTGTTAATACCCCTTTTTGGGTAAGAGTGGAATAGCTTGATCTTGCCGAGCTGCACTTTAATCAGCACACAGCCTGCAGGGACATGTGTATTYGGATATTTCTGCTTTCTTAAGTGTAGAAAAGAGTGATCACCTGAGTTACATWTGTCTCCAAACTCATATGTAAATGAACCAAATCTGGTAACTGATTTAGTTAAACATAAAATGCTAAATTACCAAATGCGGCCCAAGGCCTAAGTGTGGTGTTACCATCAGTTCTTTCTTAGAAGGCATCTATTGGCAGCTAGGGAGAGTTCAGGGCTTGTGAGCTCAAGGTACGAGTCTTTCTCTCTTCAGAATGTTGCAGAAACTGGAGAGAAATTATTCTGTTATGAGATTTGCTGCAAATTCTGTTATTTGTTTGCTGCAAATCTTTGTGACCTCACTCTCCCTACCACCTGCCACCTGCAGGTGGCCTTCCTGGCTACTTTCCTCTACCTTTCAGTGGTTCCTGGCCTCCTGCTGCATTTTCTTTTTTGTTGCAACAGAAGCTGCTGGTAGCTGATTTCATCTCTCAAATAGCTCTCTTCCAGGCCACTGCTGCAGGCTTTTCATCCAGCAGACCCCTCTAGGCTGCCAACATTCACACTAAAGGTTGCATCTGCAACTCTGTAATTCGGTCATTCTTGGCAATATTTCTATCCGAATTTCTTCCTGGTGACAGGGGCTCTTTATCTCCCTCAGACATCACTGTTTTAAAAGGTGGATTCCTGGTAAGCTGCCCCTTGGAAGATCAGCCATCAAGTACACAGACAAAAGCCTCACGCATAAGTTACAATCATGTTCCCATCTTTCATTACCACTTCATAACATCCTTCCCCCACAGCAGTGAAGCTTGGAGCTGGCACCTGGCACCTTTTCATTTTAACCCATTTACAACCTACTCTGTGTGAGTCAGAAAATCTTACATTCACAAGCAGCTGCTGACACAGAGGAAGTTAGGGAGGGTGTATAGCAATGATAAGCAACATGGGAAGAGATATTTCACCTGGCACACAAAAAAAAGCCCAGAACCTGTGACTGCCTTTAACCTCCCAGGCCTGTCCCCACCTACAACCTCCTCCTTGCCACTATTAGCAGTGGCCCACCCCAGACTGCCTCTTTCAGCCTTCTTATATGACCTTTTTATTTCTGTCTCTTTAATACGACCCAATGACTACATAAACAAACAGAACTTGTACCAAGGTTCATGCTATTAGTTTTAGCTTATCAATAACATTAAATATAAACAAGGGACTCCTAGGGACCGATAGTCCTAATTCAGAGGAATCACTCACAGGCTTGGACCCATGTAGAAAAAAAGATCTTTCTGCACCCAGCATGRCGAGGTCTCAGGTGTGTGTGAATTGCCACTTTTTCTCTATACAGTTAACGTCAGATCTCGCCCCCTTGGGAAGCTTTGCGTCACTGCACAAACCCACTAACACTGTCATTCTGCTTCACTTCTGGGCATCACATTTACTATTACTGACTATATTTCTGATTTGTTTATATATTAACTTATACATTGCTTTTCGTATATTAATGCAGAATGCTACGTATTTATTATCTCTCTCCATTGGGATGTAAGTGCCATAGAACAGGGACTTTGCTTGTCATTGCTATATTCTCAGCACTTAGAATAATGTCTTTCATGTGTGCATTCAAAAACTCTTTGCTGAATGAATGAAAAGAAGTGCTACTAGATGCTCTTGGCCATACCAAATGTCTATAACAAACTGTATCCCTCATTGCCCAGATATATTAGTAGCTTGGCATTGTCTGAAACAGGAGTGCCTTCTAGTTTCCCCAAAGGTCAAGGTTTCCCTTTTCTATGAGGTCTACACAAATACCTCCTTTGTTATATCTATGGGGTCTCTTGATAGGTGAGCAAACTCCCTGGAATAGGGCTACTAACATTGTAAGTCACTGTTGCTCTACTGATGTCATTATTCTGGACAAGAGAATTAGGAATCCAGTGCTCTCTTCACAAAGATTTGGGTGAAGAGAAATAGTGGAAATCACCGATGTTCTATATCCGAAGGCTGACCCTACAGAATAATGTCAGAATATACAATGGAAACACTGTATAATGCGGAATAAATATATTATCATTTAATAAGATGCACACATCTGGTCCCTCTCTTAAAGTAAAATGTACATTAATTAAGCCCCTAACATTCTGATTAAAGATAATAATCCTTTTGCATTGTGAATTTGAGATAGATATGATTTGTATCTGTTTTTCAAAGACATTGCTGCCTTTTGACACTTCCTTGTGTTTCATATTAAAAAATTATATGAAACCTAATATTTGTCTAAGATTGGGTTTTGCTTGAAATCCTCTTCAATCTCTTCAGTTGTCTGTAACTCACAGTGGCTTTCTTTAGTGTAAAAGAAGAATTCAGCGTTATTTCTTCTGACAGATACTTGTAACTTTGGGGGATATATTCAGTCTCCATTATATTACTTTATAACTGTTCAATAAAAGGTAGAAGAAGCTTGTCTTTAATTTTGCTTTTACATTCTTCTGTTGTTCCCAGCAGTGAAGGGTACTGAGCTCAGGAAACTGCACCATGATCATTGATAAAGTCAAAAAGAGATATTAGAACAAAAATTAAAGATTCTAGTCAACCTGGAGCTAGAGTATTTTTAACCCTAAAATGAAGATAAATCAGGACTTTAAAAAATCCTTCCACAAGGCAACCAACTGCAGCTCTTTTCACCTTCCCAAGAGAGAAAGAAACTGGCTGAGAGGTTAAATAACTTTCTCGCCTTCTCACAGCTGAGAAGTAGCTGAACTGGAATTTGAACACTGCCCCTGATGACTCAAACCTCTCTGCACTATGCTGTGCTCTTCTTGCCAGCAGCCTCCCAGGAGACCCAAGGTCCGTGGTCTCTGGACAGAAGAACCAAAATGTGCACCATTCAATACAATGGAAGTTTTTCTATTTTAAATGTTTTGAGCAGACATTTGTGATACTTCAGCAAGCAAACCCTTAGGGCTGAGCATATCCTAAGATTTAGTGTTGGAATCAAAATGTCAAACAGATATCTATAAAATAGTATGTATAGCCATTACTTTGCCAAGAAAATCAGTCTCTGTATCTGGAAAATCAAGTGTAAATAACAAGTAATTCACTTATTACTTTATCTGTGTTTTTAATTGACACAATAATTATACAAACTATGGGATACATGTGAAGTTTCCATGCATGTATCGTTGGTATGATGATCAAATCAGGATAAATAGCATATCCATCACCTCAGATATTTAACATTTCTTTGTGTGACACATTCAAAATCCTGTCTTTCAGGTATTTTTTTACTTATCACTTTTTATAAAGATGAGATTTGAAAAATAACTTGCTTCTGCTTGTTTTGTAAGTTTGTATGTAGTTTTCATCCTTGTCTATGGTTTGTTTGATTCACTTTAATTRTACTCTCCTATGTTATATCTTGCCCCCCTCCCCCGCCACTGCCAGCATATCACATGTTAGAGGCATCAGGGATGAAACCCAGGAGCACTTCACCACTGAGCCACATCTCCAGCCCTTTTAAAAATTTTATTTGGAGACAGGGTCTCGCTGAGTTGCTTAGGGCCTTGCTATGTTGCTGAGGCTGGCTTTGAACTTGCAATCCTCCTGTCGAAGCCTCCAGATCTGCTGGGATTGCAGGTGTTTACCTCTGTGCCTGGCTTACAGGTCCTTTAATGGTCATTGCTTCAACCTTCTGTGTGGCTGGTTTCACCTGTATCTGGCCTCTTCTCTGCTGTGACTCCCTTGTGGCTTCCTGGGTTCCCCCTGCCAGGGGCCACCCCCACCCCCAGCACAACAGACTTCAATCACTGCCATCTTGAGTCATCTCTGGTTGAAGGTCCAGCATCCAGCAGAAACTCAAGGCCCCAAGGTTGCAGCTGGATCTCCTGGAGAAGACAGCATGGTCTTTGTACTGGCAAGATGCTGTGAAGTACATCAAGCAGAGTACGTGGACTTGTGTGAGACCTCTGAGGCCTAACCTCCTCCTTTCTCAGAGAATGAGATCAGACCTAGAGGATGTAATTGAACTTCTTAATGAAACACAGTTAAACTGGAACAGAGATGAACTAGAACTGAGGTCTCTTGTCTATTTTCTGCCGCTCCCTCCATTAATCCATTGGATGTAAAAAGGTAGCATTAATTTACTGAAAGATGATTGATATCCACCTTTATCTGAGAAAGCATTAGTGGCAATTTTCAATTAAAGAAGAATATATAATAATCATTTAAACAATGGCAAAAGAATAAGAGACATTTACTTAAGGGAGCAGATGAGGGAGTATTGATACTAAAGATGCTACCTAGGAATATAATACGAAACTTAAATACTTAGATTTAGCTTTGAGTTTCCTAAAGGCCAAGGTTAAAATGAAAACATTCTAAGTTACACATGCTTCAGTAGTTTAAAAATGACAATGTATAAATAATTTATCTTGGGGAGATCTTCTTTTTATATAGATTTACTGTCCCCTAATTCTGATTATTTATGTCTGGGAGGGAATCTCTACGATGAGTAATCTCTGGTTCTGATGCAGGTGGCCAGTGGACTTCATTTTTTAAAATATATTTTTTTAGTTGTAGATGAATACAATACCTTTTATTTATTTTTATGTGGTGCTGAAGATCAAACCCAGTGCCTCACACATGCTAGGTGAGCGCTCTACCACTGAGCCACAACTCCAGCCCCAGTGGAGTGCATTTTRAGAAACACCAATGTAGAAGAGTTGTTGGTGTGTCCTTAGCATTGACCAGCCCATTTGAATATCAGTTTTCTCCACCTGGTTTGTGATAAGCAGCCAACAGCCTGAGATGATGTCTCAAGAGAGATCCAGGAAGTGCAAAGGCCATGGGTTGTTGATTCAACAACGATTCTGTGCTTTCTATGCCAGGAACACAGGAAGTAAAGAACTCAAAGCCATGAGGAGCAGGAGGTGTGTGTGTGTTGTCAGAGTGAGAAGGGACTAGGGAGAGATAGAAGAAGAGAAGCAGATAGAAAGGCCAGGCTGGGAGCTCCAATGTCAACCATTGCTGTTTTCTCATTTTTCCAAGTCCAACTCATTTGGCTTCTGCTGTGTACACAGCTATCGGTGCCTGGCTCTGCTATCTTTGGTCATTATTTATGGGAAGACGTTCCTGGAAATCTGTTCTGAATCAGAGAAGTGGGGTGGAAGTAGCAGTCCATAGGGCGCTATGATTCCTAAGGCTTTTGTGGGGCCCCGGATACCCTRAAACAATACATACAAATGTGTGTATAAGCATATGAATATTTTGTGTGGGGGAGGAGGAAGGAAGAGGTTCCAATTGCAACTTTAATTGGAGTTACAAAGACGCCATATATGATCTTAAAGTGGGCGTCCTGGGATCCCTGGCCCAGCTCAGGACTCATGAAGCTCTGAGTTCAGATCTGTGTACTCTTATTACATTCCATCCTCAGTTCAGTTACATGACAACCCTCTGGGTGACAGCTGGGTCATTAAGTGTCCCTTTCTCTCCAAGAAACACCCTTCACACCTAATCTGAGGATTATGGTAGCAAACCTGTCCGGAATAATTTTGATAAATTGTTTTGGATAATTAGTCCCTTTTAATTTCTCATGGAAATAGTAATTTTAGGTGACAAGATTATTATATGCTGCTTGTTAGCAGGCTCTCCAGGGTCAAGAAAACACCACCGAGATGGCTATTACGTGTTCTTTCCCATCTTTGGCATTACCCTTGAAATACAGAAAAGACATTCAGTAAAGTCTGCTCCCACTCTGTGGAAAGCACAGAGCACTGGTTTCCTTTTATCCTTCTGCCAAGTGAAGGATTAAAGCAGGACTTTCAACTTTTCTCTGCTACTGCCAGCCCATGTCAGGCTTCACAGACTTGCTGATCATTAACTTGAAAAGCTGGGGGAAGTTTCTAACTCTTCCATTTGCTTGTTTACCTGTTCAGCCAAGTTGCTTTACAACTGAGTGGGTTTTGAATAAACAGGGTCCTGGGCGGTCAAATATTTGACTCAGCTCAAGTGGAATATTTTCAYTGCTTTTCACTTCATTGAACATGAGGGTCAGTTTGACAGGTCAACGTGGGTTTGCCTAATGGTTCACCTTGTACCAATCCAGGAGAGGAGTAGATGGAAGGGAGAGAACTCTTCTCAGCAGTTTAGGAACCTGGGAACTGATTGGCTAATTATTTACCAGTTGCGTCGTAATGGGCCATTTGTCTGACCTTTCTAAATCCTCATTTCATCATCTGTCAAAAGAGTGAAAGAATACTGCCTAGCTCATGGCACAGCTGAGTGAATTACATGATAAATAAAAACTCAGTGCATAGCAAGAATTGAACCAAACAAAAGATACAGGGATTGGGAGAAAATATCTGCACACCATGTATTTGAGAAGGGGTTAAGATCCAAAACACTTAAGGAATTCATACAACTTAATAGCAAGAAAACAAATAGCCTGATTAAAAAAATAGGCAAAAGGTCTGAATAGATATTTCTCAAAAGAAATTATACAAATGCCTAGCAAATCGATGAAAAAACAATGCTCAACACTACTAATCACCCAGGAAATGTAAATTCAAACCACAAAGATAGGTCACTTTACACCCATTAGAATGGCTATTATCAAAAAGACAAAAGCTAAGAGTTGGTGAGGATGTGGAAAGAGGGGAGCCCTTGTATACTGTTGATTAAAATGTAAATTAATACATCTCATTTTGGAAAACTTCATTAAGTTCTCCCAAAAAACTAAAAACAAAATTACCATATGATCTAGCAATCCTACACCTGAGTATATAACCAAAATAATTCAAATCAGTATGTGAAAGAGACATCTTCACTCCCAGGCATGCAGCATCTCTCACAATAGCCAAGATAGAGACTTGACCTAACTGTTCATCAACAGACTACTGGATGAAAAAAAAAATGTGGTTAAAATACAAAATAGAATACTATTCAGCCTTAGTAAAGAAGGAAATTTAGTTATTTGGGACAATATGGATGAACCTGGGAGATAGCATGTTAAGTGAAATAAGCCAGGCACAGAAAGACAAATACTGCATGCTTTCATTTACAGGGGAAATTTAAATATTCAAACTCATAGTGGTGGATATTAGAATGGTGCTTATCAGAGGCTAAGAGTCTGATGGCAGGGGTGGTAAATGGCTAGCTATTGGTCAAAGGGTATGAAGTTTCAATTAGAGGAATACATTTTAGAGATCTCTTGCACAACATGTGAGTGCAGTTAACTAAAATATATTTGAAAATCTCCGAAAGAAATTTTAACTGTTCTCATCATGAAAAGAGACAAGTATATGTGAGGTAATGGGTATGTTAGCTTGATTGAATCTTTCTACAATGTATACATATATCAAAATATCACATCATATTCCTTAAATATGTATGATGATTTGTCAAATAAAAGTAAAATTTAAAAGATAGCATGTCCTATTATGATCCTGATATACTTCTCCCCAAATCAAATCTTACAAAGATGTCTTAAGTAGTAGAAGGGTAAGGAATAAATATCGCACTCATGCCCAACTGTATCTTTACATCCTTAAAACTTGTTAATGTAGATATGTCTAATCCCATATATGCTGACATCCTTTAAAAATGATCAGAGGCAAGAGGCAGATAGAAATTATTTCAATGTTATCAATTATGAGTGCTTAACATGGATGTCAATGTAGGTAACCACATTCCTTGAAATCAAGGAATTCCTTGATGTGAAACTGGAAGTAAGGAATTTTTATGCCTCCCATTATTTTTTTCTCTCTAACTTTCCAATGAAACAAACCAAAGATACTGTTCTTGTGCCAACTTTAAAAAAAATGAGAATTTTGTTCTTTTAGGAAAGTTTTTTTGTTCTTTCTCTCCTACTTTCTTATCTATCATAGAATTGTATTCCCATTCTTTAGAAATCAAATACTAATACATTTGCTCTTTTATGGAGCTCTTATTTTTAAACGTTTCATTTTTCAAATTTCATAAGATTTTCTCAAATTTCATAAGGCTTACAGGCTGCACCTTGCTGTCTCTGAATTCATCTTCCCTTGYGGTCCTTCTGAATTTGACACTCACCTTTATTGACATTTCGTAGGTCGATGTTCCATATCTCTTCTCTATTTATTTTACTGTCCAGTAAGGGCTGAGGGAGAAAAAAATCAAACATTTCCTTAAGGAATAAGGGCTAGCTCTCCAGGTATATCCTCAAAGAAGAAATCTTCTCTAAGAACTGAAAATAGGTTCAAAAACTAGAGCCTATGTTATAGATGGCAAAGATCTCTCCTTGTTTTAACTTAAACCTGAAGCTTTCTGAGCTTTATCTAACTGTGAGAGAAAGTGGAAAGAGGAGTTTGCATGATATTTTCAATTAGCTTATTTAAATGAACTCTTTGGTGAGATTCCATAGAAATATGAACTATAAATATGAATTATATAGAAAACTAGAGGGTTTATCAGATTGTGTCTAATTACAGAGAAAACAACACAAACTCCATATAATCTGGATGGTGGCTTGCTAGGCTAATAGTCCTGTAGAAAAGGTCAAATCATTCACTTCAGTAATCCTGTTACTTTCTCTACTAGCTGCTGAAGTGTCTGAGTGACCCTTCTTGACCGCTCGAATATGACCAGATCAACTTGTCTCATGATGTTCTGATGGGATACCAGCAACGGCTTCAGCTCCTAATCTCAAACTTCATCAAAAAGCAACTTGGACTTTGTGACCAGATGTCATAAATTGCCAGTCCAACCCTCCCCAACTTTCAGTTGGTAGATCATGATTTTGAAGCCATGTTTTTTTTGTAGCATTTTCCTACAGTTCTYATCCACACACTAAAATCATGATAGAGAGGTTTCATGATATCCCTTTATCTTAAAAATGAATTTATAGGAAGAGAAGTTAATACCACATTAAATGAAATTCAAATTCCATTTTAGAATAAGCTAACTAGATCAATCTAATAATTCAAATTTTTAAAAAATTCCTGGATTGTGACATTTGGAGTTTTATATGCAGCATTAATTAAGCTCACATCAAAATAGATCAGCCATTTGTAGATACAGTTACCAGTCACTCTGTTGCTGAATCCATTCCAGAAATTCATGTGAGAAAGTTGTCAGGCACTTCTAGGTGTTGGACCAGTGACAGAAATTTGATCATGCACATTCAAAATATTTACAGAAAAAAAGTATCAGTGTACTGTAGGTCTACACATACGAGTTATCCCTAAGGAAATATAACCATACTTCTTTTTTACCCCCGCACAATTTCAGTGCACCACAGAATAGGATTAGAGGTCTATATGTGCCTGCATTTGTGATTTATCACAGAACAACTCTGAATTACACATTTATTTTCAAATGAAATTTCTTGGTGATGCAAAGAAAGATCTTTTTTGTTCAGAAATCACAAGTGACTAAATTGCCTTCCAGCAATCTTTTTTTTCTTTGAAAGAAATGTGCTTTGAGGAGGCTGTGTGTGTGTGTGTGTGTGTGTGTGTGTGTGTGTTTTGTTCATTTCAATATGAACCTGAGAAATTACTAACAACTAAATTTAAAGTTGTGTTTAAAATGTTAAAGTAATCCTTTTGTGTGGTTTTGAAGCAGGTCTTTTCTAGACCTCGAATAGACTTCCAACCCATTTGATCCTCTGGGAGACTCTCAGGCTGCACCTTGCTCTCTGTGAATTGATCCTGACTGGGGCCTTTCTGAATTTGACATACTGGGAAGTTGGAAAGAATGGGTGGMGGATGGGTGTGGAATGGCTGGCAAACTTGTATAGAATGTAATGTTGTGTACATATATTTATATGGTTGAGACTAAAATAAAACTTAATTCCAACCATGGTATCTGGCTCCTGGAATCATTGTCCATCATTTGTGGCTGAATGGAGGCGTAGTGTGTGATTCCCTGTTGATGGTCAACAGGTTCTAGGCTGGTGGAGTTTGAATCGGTCTGATCCTGCAGGTAAAACAGTTTTCTCTCCTTAGCAGCAACAATAAGCAAACCCCTAAAGGGTGCTTTGGTTTGTGAACTTCCTTTGGCAGTAGAGACTTTTGGAGTCCAACTTTTCCATATCCAAACAGTTGACCGTCAAATACAAAGATCTAACTTTTATCCCTCTGTTCCTGGGAAATCTTTACTGGGACAAGGGGAAGCTATGAGAGATGGGGGGAGGGACAGGCATGAAATATATTTTTCTTTTCAATTCTTTGTTAGGTGTGTGTGTGTGTGTGTGTGTGTGTGTGTGTGTGTGTGTGTGTGTTTTAATCATTACAATCTTGTATCTCAGAAGAAACCTGAGACTCATTTGATAATTCTTTCTTCGTCATTCCCTATAAATCACCAAGTCCTACAAACTGGTTCTCCTAAGTCATTCCCCAGCCTCTCCACATTTTCCAATTCCCTTGCACCTGCCCTGGTCCAGCCACAATGCTCTCTCTTCCACACCACTGAGGTGGCCTCACCCTGGAAAGCTATGTCTCCATTTGTAAAGTTCAGTTGATCTACCATCTTGCTTCAAAGCCTTCACACTGGACTAACACGAAATGCAAGGCTCTCAGCATAGCCCATGAGCTCTGTGCTCAGTGCTGGGCCCAGCTGGGCGCTCAGGCTCACACCTTCTTCTTCTCCTCCCTCTCCTTCTTTCTTCTTCTTCTTCTTCTTCTCCTCCTCCTCCTCCTCCTCCTCCTCCTTCTTCTTCTTTTTTTTTTTGCATCCCCTGACTCCTCAGTTGTGCTCAAGGCACAAAAGTAAAAGGGCACAGTCCTTCACAAAGGATTGCCCACAGAACCCTCAAATGGGAATATTCAGCTAAGGGAACAAGTGGGACTTGTTCATCTAGCTGTGAGCACTGGTTCAGCCACATCCAAGGAGAGAGAGGTCTTTTCCTGATTTGTCCAGCAATATTATATAGGATAATGAGGACCAGTTGTCAACATCCCTTCCCATATCAGAGTCATTTGCTATCTACTCTCCCTGCAGGGCCTCCCCTGAGCTCATGCACATGGTTGAATTATGTTGTGATTTAATCAATGCCTGATGCCTAGAYTATAAAGGTCTTGAGGGCAAAGACTGCACCTGTTTTATTGACTGCTGTTCCCCCAAGAACCAACAGTGCCTGTGATATACTAGATGCTCAGTAAATACTTGTTAAATGATATTTCAGAGCACTTCCCTACTTCCTTTGTGAACCTCCCTTCATTATGAGCTGGGTGCAGGTGTCAATGGATTTGCTCCACAACACTGCGCTGTGGTTCTCAACACTGGGGCCCATTGGGATCACCAGAGAAGGCTTTCAAAAACATCTTTTGAGGCTTCATTTCAGACCAACTCAACAAGAGCCTCTGGGAGTGGGACTAGGAAGCTCTATTCTAAAATATATCTCAGACTGGGCTGAGAGCTGCTGATGCAGAAGAATAAATCCAGCAGATGGTCTTCCAGCTGAGCTGGATGAAAGTCTTCAGATGGTCCCTCCACTGGAATACTTACAGAGAGGGAGAGCTTTCACTTCACTCTTACGCCTAATGCCAGGAACAGCATCTTCAGCATTTTATGTTCCCAGAAGCATGCACAGAGCCCAGCACATAGTAAGACTGGGGGGATTGATATATCTCACTATAATATACTCTATATCATATGGGATAAAGAGGACTTGTCCTCATTATCATATGGACATATGACATATATCCATGTATATGTATATATATCCATATATAGTTATATATACAGATATAGGGTTGTACATAATTTATATATGTTAATATTATAATAATTATCATATATAGGTTAGTGCTCTGAGATTTAAGAAAAAAACTAGAATGCCTTGAAGAAGACTTCTATACAAGAATGTGTTCTTCTGTTTGTAAATTCTCATGAACTTTCCAGTGCTTGCAACTTGAGAAACCCAATGCTCATCCTATTTTGCTATCTGGCTGCTGGGCATCACATGTTTGATAGRATTGAAAACTTGAATAAAAGACAGATAAATGGCCTCTACTGCCTCCCTCCAAGCTATGAGTCCAGTCATCCTGTCATGAAAGGAAATTAGAATTGTCTGACACATACTGAGCTTCATAAAGCCACACTGTTCCACTTCAGGCTCCTGCACGCCCCTAGACACACCACGAGTAGATTTTTTTGAAGATCTGATCTGCAATTTTCATCTCATGGTGAGAACTAAGTCAACTAATCTTTAATTGTTAAGGTCCCCCTTCAACTCTTTTAAAAACAAATGAACTATAATAGATCTATTTTTCTTTCTTTGATTCTCTGACTTTCTCCATCTTTTAAGAATCCTAAAACGAGAGCAGTGACTCTGCAAAGTCTCCTAAAATGAATAATCTGAAAAACTTGTAATTTGCAATCTGCTTCATTATTCAGTCCACAATGATTTCCTCCTTTTCTGATGTGCTTTTCTATTCCTTCCAAACAGACGTCATTCAATCCAGGATCAATTTAACATTTATTTTTCTAAAAAGTGAGCATACCAATTTTCCCTTGAGAACAAAAGACCACCATTAAACCACCTTTTCCCTGAAACTTTAATTATGCTTTAATAATTATTCTTGTAAGTGTAGTTAAAAATTCATTAGGCAAACAACCTAGAAACCAATATCATATATTCTGTAAGGTATTGATCTAGAATCACCTTGCCAAAAGGCAGTAATTTAGGGTTGTGTCTATCTTCCTAAATATCTAAAAGTTCTTAGGAAATCTATTGCTTTCTATAATAGCTTAATTGTTAACATCTTAAACTCTGTCCCAGAGTTGCAGGAATTATCTGGGTCTTCTGATTTTTCTTCAACCCATTAGAACAAGAATAGATTCTTAAAAATCTAGATCATTCTTTTTATTTCCAAATAACTTTATTTTTTTTTATCTGTTTAAGTTCCTTTGCATTCACAATTCCTCCCAACATTACAGCTAACAAGAACAAACGATGAGGTGAAACACAGTGGAGCTCAGGTTCTACTCTGGGTAAATGATCAGCCATGAGCACCAGTCTCCTATTCAKACCTGCTGCCTTCACTAGGTCTTTGTACCTTCAGGGCTGTTGAAGGTTGGCAGAGGACTCGTGTCCTTTAGAACTGATTCCACAATTGGTTTCAGGTTGCAATACCACAGACCTAGTCCAAGTAAACAAGGAAATGATGGAGCAAATATTCAGAACGAATGTTTTGTTTTTGTTTGTTTGTTTGATTTTTAAACCGGGAATTGAACCCAGGGGCACTTGACCACTGAGATGCATCCCCAAACCCTTTTAACTTTTTATTTTGAGACAGAGTTTCATTAAGCTGCTCAAGGCCTCACTGAATTGCTGAGTGAAGTAGGCCATGAACTTGTGATCCTCCTGACTCAGCCTCCTGAGTTGCTGGGATTAACAGGTGTGCATCACCACAACCAACAAGAACCTATTTTCTGTAACTCACAAGGCTAGGTGTTGTGAGAGAGCAAGACAAAGTCACTTCCTTTAAGCGATTTATAGCCTAATAAAGTTGAGGCAATGAGACAAATATGTGAATGAGTACAATTCAAAAGACAATCTAGGTTGGGTGCAGTGGCTCACACCTGTGATTCCAGAAACTTTGCTTGAGAGGCTGAGGAAGGAGGATTACAARTTTGAAGGCAGGCTTGAGCACTTAATGAGACCCTGTCTCAAAATAAAAAATAAAAAGGGCTGAGTATGTAATTCAGGGGTAGAGCATCCCTGAGTTCAATCCCCAGTGCTGCAAAAA